TGCTTTCTCATTCACTGAATTCGACTGTCTGGAATAGACGATGTTCGTCTATAGTGCGGCCACACATTTCTACAGTCTCGCTCACACGAGGGGCAAAGCGATATCTCTCTCTTTTACGAGAGGTACAAATCTCGTCTTGACTATCTACAATCCAGCACATGATTCGTTTCGTACCTGATACACGCCTTTATAGTCCTCCTGTTACGCAGGACGTTTGACGTATTCAAAGTACGCAACTCCTCATGTTGGATTCCGTAAATATCTCAGGTCTTAGGATTCAATCATGGAACCGTCATATGAGATTCAAGTCATGACGCAAGTCCATGTGACAATCTCATGCGGGTCAATCCAGTATTCTGTTCTCCAACGAATACCTATGATCGTGATCGTATCCAATACCTATCATCATCTATATGATCATCAATCACACATCATACTAGTCTTAGTATATCATTTTTCCCACAATGATACATGACTAGGGAGTTTAGTACTGTTCATAACAATACATGGATTTCATAACATATCAAGTATGCACAATACGTAATGAAACAAACACTCATCCACAAACTAATAGAAAGTGTCAATACATCAAATGTATCCAAGTAAAGTTCGTAAACAGTACATCATAGAGCACTAAACCTACAGTATCTACACCGATAGGAAGGATTCCAAATGGTTTGGAACGTATCTGCTAGGATTTGTGAAAAGAGATCGATGTCTAGGACTTGGAATCGGTATTCTGGGGCAGAACTCAAGAGAAGTCTTCTTTATAGCTCTTAGATGTGTTTTGGACTTCTGATCTTCGAAGACCTAGGGTTTGGGGTGGCTCCCATATTAAAAAAACGTGAAAAAATAAAGTTTTCCGAAAGTCGGACCGACCGATCTGGGTTTTGGACCGGTCAGTCTATCTTGGATCAAACCGAATGGTCTTAAGGCTCGGAATGGCTGGACCGACCGGTCTACTTCTTAGACCGATCGGTCTAGCTGTCTGGAACTAGTTTCCAGCTTCTGACACTCGTTCTATCGTCCCGTTATCCTTTCTTGCATTCGTCCCTTCACATGTAGTTCATCCCTAATGTTGTGTGACCCTGTAGGCCTAATCGCAGTAGCAGTGACGGTGGCTTCAGAAATCTTTTTCGAACCATAAGTAATGGTTAGCCTCTAGCAAGAAGCCATGACTACCCGCCTTAAATAGGGTTAGAGATGATCTAACCGAGGTAGTAACAGCTCGAGTTCTGATCCTTTGTCTCGCGATATCATATGTAGAACAATCACTACTAGAAAACAACAAATGGGTGACGCAATTTTGCGTCACCCTTTTATATTTTTGAGTCACCCTTTTTAAAAGGTGACGCAATAGTAACGCAACCAAAAGCGTCACCATTCATACCGTCACCAATTCATTCGTCACCAAGCATCACCAAAGGGTGACGCAATAGTGACTCAACTTTTAAATAGTGACGCAAAAAGGTGACGCAATTATTGCATCACTAAAATGTATTTTGGATCCAAAAATAATTTTTTTTAATCCCGAATCTAATCCTATACCCTATTCCCGACCTCTAACCTCCAACCGCGATCTTAAGCTGAATCGAAAATTCTAAAATTGAATCCCCGAAATCCAATTCCCAGGAAGTCACCCATCCTTCCACTACTCCAGCTCAAGCACGCTTAACTTTAGAGTTCCAATTGGCAAACAACCAACTGATCCAAGTTAAACTTCTAATACGTTACAACATTAATACATATACATATACAAATATTTATACTTACAAATATATATACGTATATATTTGTACATATATACACATACATAAAATATATTTTTATATATATAACATATATTTGTATGTATAAATATATGCATATATATATATATATATTCATATATATGATGATATATATAAATATATAATATATATGTATATGTAAAATACACATTTATATATAAAATACTCGTATATTTGTATATACAAATACACATATATATAATATATACGTATACATAAAATATACATTTTATATATATATATCCGTATATTTATACATACAAATACACATAAATATAATATACGTATATATAAAATTTATATTTATATGTAAATACTCGTATATTTATACGTACAAATACATACATATATATTTGTATGTTTATACATATAAATAATAAAATAGAGCGAATACCGCAAGGATACGGATCAACTGTAGTACCAGGGTCGAACACAGGGAATAGTTAACTCTAGGAACAAGACTCGACCAAGAATTAGATCAGGAAATAGCAGATGGAATAGATGAATACCGAAAATAAAATAATAAATAAATTAAGTAAAATCAGATAATTAAACCATCGTAGCTTCGGGATAACCTTAACGCGCAGGGATTGTTTCTAAGGATGGAGAATCTACGAATATCGAACTCTAAACGAGGATCTCAAGTTCTAAAATCAGATTTGGCTCTCTCAAGTCCTAAATCCACTATCCAATAATTTAACCTATCGATCTCTCAACCTAATAGATTAAAATATCAAATGCATTAACGATCACTATCACAGCTCCTAAACCGATTAATCTATCTCTCAATAATCTTAATCAATTTATTCAATGAATTCTTCGGAATCCAATTGCAACTCTCGTTGTAAATCAGAATCTAAAATCAATCAATCAACTGGCCAAGAAGATCAAAAGCAATAAACTCAATTCAATTAAACCGTCGAGTATCGATAACGTAGTCTCGGAAAATAAAAACCAAACAAATTCCTACAAGGTTAAATCTCTAGCTACAGTGAAACGATTACTCACTACTCATAACAACAAACGAGTTCAAATCAATAAGAAGAAACATAGAAACAGATAAAGAAGACTCACAGCGATCTCTCGACGACGGTTCTTCAATCTCTGCTTCCGGGGAACTCCGTCTTGATTCTCTCTCGAGTTCTCTGGCCTCTGCTGTGATCTCCCGATGATTTCTGAAGCCCAAAACGTCCTCTATTTATTTCTTTGGCGGCTAGGCTTCTTTCTATTCTGAAAACGGAAGTTCGGATGCAAAACAGGAAGTTTTCTCGAAACGTAACACGGTCGTGTTGGGGTAAACACGGTCCTGTCAATTGTCTGATCAAAACTATGCGCTTCTGCACGGGCTGGACACGGGCGAGTTGCGTCTCGACACGGCCGTGTTTGACTCGACACGGTCCGTGTCAATTGTCTGTAAGAATATCTTTGTTTCCTTGCCTTTGCACGGCCGTGTTTAAACTCGACACGGTCGTGTTCAAGTGCAACTCGAGTTGGAAATGCCTTAATCGTTTTGTTCCGGTCCAGTATGCTCCGAAGTCCTCGATTATGCTCATCTGATGTCCATAGTGTGTCCATTACATGTTCAATCACCAGAGAATGCAGAAGAAACAAAACCCAGTGCTAAAATGATCCTAAATGTCTAATAATGCACGCAACCGATGCGAAAGTGCTACACAATGGGCTTTAAAATAGATGAGAAAATCGTGTTATCATCACCCTTCAAGTTCAATTGCTTTCTCGTCTTGGCAAATCGACTGATAAAACAGATGCAACTTCATCTATAGCGTGACCACGTATTTTCATAGTCCGATTTTCACAAGGGGTCCACGACATCTCTCCGGTTAAGGAGATGACAAGTCTCGTATTAACTATCTACTATCTCCATATAATTCATGAATGTATTTGAACAACACCGTTATAATCATTCGATTAAAGACGATGTTTAGCGAAGTCAAGACACATCACTTCTCATATCAGATACTCTAGACATCTCAGGTCTGAGGATCTAATAATGAATCGCTACATGAGATTCAAGTCATGACTGGGTCCATGACAATCTCATGCGGATCATCCGGTCGCTCGTTCCCAACGAGTACCCATGATTGTGATTCAGAATCACACATCATGTTGGTCTTAATTTATCATTGTTCCCACAATGACAACTGATCAAGGAGTTTAGAATCATCCTGCAATGACTCAAGGATACCGAAATGTAACAAACATGCCAGTCGTATAACGGAAAAATAGTGCATTCATAAATCAATTGAATCAATACAATATCAAATGTCATATCACGAATCATCCTAGAGCATTATAACCAATCCTGCTGACATTCATTCGACAGACTTTTTATCCACTACGCCTCACCTCTATACGAATCATGATTACCGTTTATGCAAAACTTAAACTAAAACTAAAACTAAAACAACAAGGTCTAATATACACTACATTCCATGTGTCTGTTTATGCAAACCTATAAAATCATGGAAAATTTTCGATATATTTACATGTTCTAGTGAAGTATGCACAACAGAAGTACTAGCTTCACCACTGTCCCGATGTCTTCTTTTTTCGTTTTTCTATTCCCATGATAATGCTTTGCATCGAGAATCTTGAGATGATAACATATTTCGGCGAGAAATAACGGGTCTCCACTTTTCGAGTAGATTTGAGATTTTTCGTCATTCTTAACCTCAATCTTTGATATGCCCTTTTAGTTAGCTTTTTTCGTTTTTTCCTTCACCGCATCTCGTACGATCACTTATGTCGACGACAAATGAATCGTCGCCACTGTTGCTTCTTCTTTTTTCCGCCGTTTATTTTTTTTTAAATTGTTTTTTCAATCATGCCTACTCGAAGGGGGTACTTCGATTCGGAAATTTAGTACTGACTCGATCCGCCCCGAAACTGAACCGGACCGAACCGAACCAAATAATGTTTGGTTCTAATTTGGTATACTTTTTATGGAACCAAATGAACCGTTTCCGAACCGAACCGTATGATAATCTTTTAATCGTGTTAGCTTATGGATATTTTAGTCTTTTAACCGTTTTATTTTATTTTTTCATTGAATAGGCATGCCTTGAAGTCTAAATCTCATTTAGACCGAATTTTTTATATTTCTCCCCTATGGTACGAGAACATCTTCGAGACCTGCCTTAATTATCAAGACATTATCAACTGTCTGGCAAGACAACGAAACAGATGATATGAATTTAAGACAAGATCCTGTCAGAGTTTTTACATGTAGAGTGTTGTATATACAACAAACAGAAACACGACCCAAAAAGACTGGATCAAAAGTAAATAAATTTTGAGAAGCAAATCTTTGCAGAACCATGAGAATTGGACCTTATTTCTTTTCTTATAGAATGCAACACTAGTTCATAATGAAAAATCATTGTTTCATTTCATGTATAGTCTAATCAACTACTTCTTGGTCTGGCCCTGACCAGTAGGGCCGCCACTGGTGCCGCCCGTGCTTACCGTTGTAACCTTGAACCGCTCATTTGCCATCGGATCAATGGCTCTCGGGGCCACATGTAATGACCCGAGGCTTTGACTCCTCTTGATTCGGGGCATGGCTTCTCCTACCTTCTTGAAGAAATCCACAAACTCGTCTTTTACTCCTGGAAATATCTTCTTCAGAACCTGAATCTCCCTCACGTAAAGCTCTCTGAAATACTCCAACAGCATCAACACCCTCACATCGATCCTCTTCTTTTCTTCTTCTTCTTTATGTTCGTATACTCTGTGATAATTATCGCCCATGTCGCTGTATTGCCTCTTCATACTCCCACTTTGGAGCCTCTTCCTTTCTGGGTCTTCGAACAATCCGAAGAACAGAGCGTGTCTGAAGTTTTGTTCTCCACTGGATCCATTTATTTGATCTTCATAACTCATAGAGGCTATGTTGTTCATATGTTTCTTCTCCATATCCATATTATTCACCTTAAGAACGGTTCAAGGAACCGACAGATCTTGATGCAGAGTAGACTTGTTGTTTTTTGGCTTGTCTTGTAAACGAGATTCACAGAAAATGTTTTTGGTCTGATTATAGATTATTTGGGTTTGGCTTTATTTTAGACAGGAACATATGTGAACGCACGTTTCGTGTATTTTCTATGAAAAAGTTGACTTTAGGATTTTGAAGCAAAACCCAGAAATTAATTAATGCCAATCTTTTGCTTGTTCTGACAAGTTGACTTTATCAGGGAAGATCGCGTTGATTTTTTTATCCAATAGAAATATAACACGTGTTCTCGATTTGGTTTTATCCAATAGAAACATAACACGTATACTGATTTGTTTCCTGGTGGCCTTTTTGTTAGTTCTCGCACACAAACCGTCACCGTAACATCCACGGAATGAAATGAAACTGTTGCGTCGCTTTCTTGAAGAACTTCGTCACCTCGGAATGAAATGAAACTGTTTTTGTTTTTAATTTAGTTTTTAGTTTTACAATCTGCAACAATGTAAAGAATATATATATTCTTTAATTGTATTAACGTAACTTATTTATTGTTCTCCACTCATTTTATTCCTCCCAAATTATTAATTTTGATTACCCTATGTAGTTACCATTTACAGTAAAAATAATTTCCCTTCCTGTAATTCTTCTACGTCGTTACCATTCATGATTAAAATATTATTCAAGCCCCCATAACCAATTCCATTCCTCTCGTTCCTCTCAATGTTTAATTCCCCTTGCCGTTACCATTTTGGAACTTTAATTCAAAGTTTTCGAATGATACCAGATTACAAATTTGATATGGTTACATTCAGATTCACTTTTCAAATTAAAAAAAAAACTAGTTTTTAGAAAACTCTAAAAGTTTTTTTAAAAAAAATTTTGGGGAATCAATTTTTTAAAGATGTTCTTTAAAAATATTTCTAAAAAAATCAAAGATTCTTGTAGCAAAAATCAAGTCTATTCTCTCGGACCTTAATTTACGAAATCAGTCGGCTTTCGTATATGAAAGGCTTATGGTTGAGAATAGTTTGTCAGCTGCGGAGATTGTGTATAGTTACGGTTCTCCTCGCTCCCCACGAGCTGCAACCATCAAAATAGACATTTTTAAAGCCGACTCTATTCGATGGGATTTCATCTTGGCTGCTTTACGCTTAGTTCATATCATAGGAGAGTGCATCTCTACGACTTCCTTTTCTATCAGTATTAATGGTGGCTTAGCTGGTTATTTTAGAGGGACTTGCAGACTTAGACAGAGGGACCCGTTATCCCCATATTTATTCGTCATTGGTATGAATGTGTTATCGTACATGCTAAACATTGCAGCGGAGCAAGGTAGATTTGGCTATCATTATGGATGTGATGACCTCAAGATTACATACTTGGCTTTTGCGGATGACTTGCTTATTTTTGTGTGATGGTTCTCAAGATCAATTGCCGCCATTCTAGACATACTAAAGGGATTTAAGGAGATCTCCATCGGGACTATATATTAACCTGTCCAAGAGCGGTCTTTTCACTTCAGGTATCCCTAACGTCGATGCAGAGACCCTTGCCGCCGGGGTCAACCTGCCTTTGGACTCTCTACCGGTAAGATACCTTGGACTTCCACTCAAGCCCATAAAAGATGATTGTTGCTGATTTTCGCCAACTAATAAACAAGGTCAAAGCTAAAATGGTACACTGGACATCTAGGCATTTATCGTTTGTTGGACGTCTACAACTGCTATCTGCCGTTATTTCAGGGATCATCAACTTCTGGTTGAATGCTTTCGTTCTTCCAAAGGGATGCATCAAAGAACTAAACTCTCTATGTTCAGCTTTCTTGTGGAAAGGGGACCCCGAGAAGCACTCCGGAGCTAAAGTAGTGGCATGGAGCAATGTCACCAAACCGAAGAAAGAAGGAGGTTTGGGACTAAAAGACGATCTCATGGAACAAGACAGTAGGCTGAAGCTGTTTTGGCTCATGCTAACTAGATCTGGGTCTTTGTGGGTAGCGTGGATACACAGAAACTACATCGGCAGCCAGTGTATATGGGCCATAAAGCCACTAGCCCGTCACTCTTGGTCATTTAAAAGGCTGCTAAAGCTTAGATATCTTGCTGCGAAATTTTCACGCTATAAACTTGGCAATGGCGAGAAGATAATTTTTTTGGTTGGATTGTCGGACACCGCTTGGGAGGTTGATTGATACTTTGGGAGCTAATGGTCCATCCAAATTTGGTATCCCTAAATTCACTAGGATGGCAGAGGTCTTTGGGAGATGAGGCTTCCAAATCCTCGCTCGGAAAACCAAACGGACCAAATCTCTTACTTACTTGACATTGTTCCGGCAATGGCCATAGAAGACAAGCATGAGTAGGTAGTTAATGGCACGATGACAAATTATTTTCGGTCTAGGGGCATTTGGAACCAAGTGCGAGATAATAATCCAAAAGTACCTTGGGTTTCAGCGGTGTGGTCGAAGCGACACATTCCAAAACATGCTTTTACAACATGGTTGTTTGTGCTAAACAAAAACCCGATGAAGGATCGACTAGAATCTTGGAGAATTTAGGTAAATCCTCGTTGTATCCCCTGTGATGATGTGTCAGAAACCAGAGACCATTTATTCTTTGAGTGTAGTTTTACTAGCTCTCTTTGGCGACGAATATGTAGACGACTCAAGCTAGAAAATAGTCCGGACAATTGGGTTGATATTTTGGCTTGGCTGAATGCATCGTGGGAGTCTTTGAATTATAGACATATAGCTTTTCTTGTGTGGCAGACATTGATATACATTATATGAAGAGAGCTTAATGCTCGAATCCATGATGGGCTTTTCTCAGACCACGACTCTATATTACATACCTACGACAAAACTCTTCGACTCATGGCAGCAACTTTCTGACTACATAGGTCAGACTTCGCTTCAGAAATCCTACAAAGATGATTTGGATAATTGTTGTATTGGTTTTGGCTTACCACTATTACACTTTCATGGGACTTGTTAGAAAATTTTTATTAACAGCTAGATCGGAATGTTACCGACTCTTTTAGTTGTATTGGCTTTTCACCTATTTTGAATAGGTTTGGAAAAATTTTTGTACGGATTATGAAGGAATGAAAATACCACATTTTGTCCAAAAAAAATCAAAGACGTGTAGAAACTACAAAGGAATAAGGTCATTAATAAATTCACTAATAAAAAGGTCTAAGCTGATCTTTTTCACGACTTGTTCATATAAGACATGTTGCCAGCTAAGGATTATCTTTGCCATGTAGCGAATCAGAAAATATCGTATCTGGGTTTCATTCGTATCTTTGAATAAAATTCTTTTATTTGATCCATGCAGAAAATTCTGGCCCGCCATTGTTACCGCTGTGTTCTAGAAAAAAATATTATAAAAAAAATTAAATTACATAACAAATAGAATATATTATCGTTTGATTTTATTAATTTTATATGAAGATAACTAAGAATAATCTTATTAGTACGTACACAATTCCAAAACTCATAACGTGTATACGTCCCATGTTTGCAATCATAACCTTTATCCAATGGCAATATAAAAACACTTGGTAATTTTCCTTTAACTTATCCACCGCTTGCGTTTTATGTGAATTTACTAATGCCCATTGGTGAATATGCAATATACTGTTTTTACACCATGTAATATACACATTCAAACACATTATGTTATTATCACTATTACATATATACAATATTCACACTATTCAACATGTATTGTAAACGTTTCTTTTTACATTTACGTTACCATAAAGTTCCATTATATATAACATTACTATTTCTTGGTTTGACCGTCACCGTCGATTGCACCTCCGGAGTTGACCGTCGAAACCTTAAACCTCTCGTTCCCGGTCGGAATCTCGGACCCGAAATCAAAGCCTCTTGAAGCCAAACGAGGTGAGCCGACACTCAGACTCCTCTCGATCGTACGGAACTCCACCCGTTCACGAGATTGTTTCGCTTGAGAAACTGCTTCTCCGATCTTCTTGAAGAAATCGAGGAACTCGTCCTTAACTCCGGGGAAAATCTTCTTCAGGAGCTGAATTTCTCTCACGTAGAGCTCTCTGAAATACTCCAACAACATCAGTACCCTCATATCGATCCAATGCTCTTCCTCGGAGTTTCCTCTGTATATTATGTTGACGGGTATGAAGCAAACACAAGGACAAGCAAGGACTCAAGCGAAGAAGAATCAGACACGAATACAAGCTCATGACCAACTCAGCAATGACACAAATGGAAATCTCCAAGTTACCGTTTGTCATATTACATATTTCCTTTTGTAAGAGATCTACTTCCTTTTTCTTTCATATCAAACCTGTATATACATCACGAAAGCTGTACATGGATGGCATGGGAATCAAGTGAATATTTTACAGAAAATTCACCCCCAAAACAGAGCTCTCTTCCTTGCTTTCTTCTTGGATAAATCTCCAAAGTTCTTGAATTTCTATATGGTATCAGAGCGGAAAGATCTGTAACTCTGAGCAATCTTTCTGTTTTAACCAGATTTGTCTCTCGCCATCAATCCTCTAGTGTTCAACACCAGATCTGCAATGGAAACACAAGAAAAACTCATTCCGATCCTTCTCAATGGCGACAACTATTTTTATTGGACCAAGGCAGCGACGGCAGCCCTTCACAGCAAAGGTTTGTGGGATCATGTCATCACCACAAGAGTCGCAGCACCTCCTATTATCCCTGGGCGGGAGATCGGATGGATCGCAAATCAACAACCGGCTACTGTACCTTTGTAGGAGGCAACCTAGTCACATGGAAAAGTAAGAAGCAGACAGTGGTGGCAAGATCAAGTGCAGAAGCTGAATATCGAGCAATGGCAAATACTACAAGCGAGATAGTATGGCTTCGGCAATTGCTTAGCGACGTTGGAATCAAATCAGAGACACCAACTACATTGCATTGTGACAATCAAGCGGCTCTCCACATAGCTTCGAACTCAGTATTCCATGAAAGAACGAAGCATATAGAAGTGGACTGCCACTTCATTCGGGAGAAAATCATACAAGGCTTAATCACAACCAAGTATACTCAAAGCCGAGACCAACTCGCAGACATTTTGACCAAGGCCACAAGTTCATTCACTCTCAACAAGTGTCTCTCCAAGATTGGACTCATCAACTATTCCCGTCCAATCTTGAGGGGGAATGTTGACGGGTATGAAGCAAACACAAGGACAAGCAAGGACTCAAGCGAAGAAGAATCAGACACGAATACAAGCTCATGACCAACTCAGCAATGACACAAATGGAAATCTCCAAGTTACCGTTTGTCATGTTACATATTTCCTTTTGTAAGAGATCTACTTCCTTTTTTTTTCATATCAAACCTGTATATACATCACGAAAGCTGTACATGGATGGCATGGGAATCAAGTGAATATTTTACAGAAAATTCTTCCCCAAAACAGAGCTCTCTTCCTTGCTTTCTTCTTGGATAAATCTCCAAAGTTCTTGAATTTCTATATATTATGTGATAATTTTCGCCCATGTCGCTGTATTGTCTCTGCATCCTCCCACTCCGTCGCCTTCCCGTGTTCGGATCTTCGAACAGACCGAAGAAGAGGTTGTTTCTAAAGTTGTCGTCTTCCCCGGTGGTTACATCTTCTTGATGTCTGTAACTCAGAGAGTTAACGTCGAGATGTTTCTTGTCAGTAGCCATATTCTTCACCTGCAAAGTGACGTCAGAAAAACGCTATAGAAATGGAAAAAGACTTCAACCAAACGTATATTCGTCCGTTTTTTTTTTTGGCTGTTTGTCTTATGGGATCGACAGAGAAAATGTTTTGTATGATTTATCCTATGTGTTTGGCTTTATTATATGTATATATAGATGTATGGATACCATAACATATACGGAGAAATGTATTCATGCGTTTCTTTTGGGAAGGACACGAAATCCCAGCGTGACTTGCTTGTCAAGAAACAAGAACCAAACTCAGAACCTTCAAGCAAAAACCAATAACTAATTAATGTCGGACCTTTTACTTGTTCCGACTAGATTGCGGTGACGTGGCTAAAGCCTTTGAGTTTTTCAGCCAATGATATTTTGACACGTGCCAGTGATCCTCTTGACGGCGCACACAATCTATCACCGTAACATCCACGGAAAGGGAATGTTTTTTTTTCATCCATTTCTTGGTGGAATTGGTCACTTCGTAGGGAAATATTATTAGATTGTTATATAAATTGATAATTCAAAGGCGTGCAGAAAAGAGTAAGATAACTATTATAAATTCATCAAAATTAATAGTTTCTTTAGAAGAAAAAAAAAACAGAAAACAAAGGTGGTGGAGGATGGAGAAAGTGTCGCTGATTATTAGGGGTGGCCATTTCGGTTAATAACCGAATAACCGAACCGAACCGAACCGACTAACAGCGGTTCGGTTCGGTTCGGTTATTTGCTTAATAACCGTTCGGTTGAGAAAATCCAATAACCGTTCGGATTCGGTTCGGTTCGGTTATTAACCGAATAACCGTGGTTATCCGATCGGTTATCAGCTTTTTTTTAATTGTTTTATCTTTTATCTAGGGTTAGGTTAATTATTTTACTGTCACTTTTACTTTTTCACTTTTCAACATCTCTCTCTCCTCCAGACTTGCGAATCGCAAGTTGCGATTGTCTTCCTTCGACTGCGGTGAGACGCCGTCACCATCGCCGTCTTCCCTCCGCCGTCAAAGGTCTGAGTCGCCGTCTCCTATCTTCTCTTTGTCTCCTTTCGTCTCTTTGCTGTCTCTCGTCTTTTCGTCTCCTCTCTTGCGATTTCGGATCTGAGATTATTGCCGCCGGTGATTGTTGAACGTCAAGCCTCTCCCCGTTGCCTCCTCCCTTCTCTGTATTTTATCTTCTGTCGCGTCCTTGTCCAGATCGTCGCCGTCTTCCCTCCATCGTTGGTGGTGGATCTCTATCATGGCGTCTCCGTCTCCACAGGTTCGTTGCCCCGCAGCCGCAGTCTTTGTATCAAATTTGTTTATTAGTTTGGCTCTCTCAGGCTCTGCCATGGCTCCGTCCGTCTCTCTCAGTCTCTATCGAGATTCTGTTTTTAGTGTATTTCGGTGTCTTTCGGTGTGTTTCGACTTTCGACTTTCATTTGTGTTATCGATTCTGTCGAATCTGTTATTGATTAATTAGTATCATTTGGTATGATATGTTTTGTAGTGAAGTTTGTTTGTGAAGATTTTCAGATTTGAGAGAGGAATTTGGGTGAAACACAAATGAAATAGATAAGTTCTGAAAGAAAGTTCTGTATTTTTCTCTTTAGGTTTCAGCAAGTTTACAAACTGATATATAGGAATATTTACATACATGATATATGGAAACTCTAAACAATAGATGTTGGCAACATATACAGAGAATGAAACTAGCTAATATTCTTCTTGATTTTTGTCAGAGTCATATCCCTCAGATTGAGCTTGAGTGTTTGTCTGAGATACGCTTTAGACCTTATGTTTCAGACCATGACTTTGCTTGCTTTTGATGTTCGAGATTGTAGTTGCGACTAATCATTTTGGAATACTAATATTTTATAGTTTAGGATTTGGATTTAATCATTTTGGATGATTAATATCATGATGAAATTTGAAGATCTTGTAGACTTTGTAATTTTTTGAGGATTAATCATTTTGTAAACTTGTTTGGATGAATTATTTTGAAGTTTTTTGGAGGATTATTATTCATTTTTTAAAATCTATCATAACCGAACCGAACCGTTAAAACCGAACCGAACCGAACCGATGTACATTTAACCGTTTGGTTATAATTTTATTGTGTCAAAACCGAACCGAACCGAACCGAAACCGAACCAAACCGAACCGATTAAATCTCCATAACCGTTTGGATATGATTTTTTTGTAACCGAAATAACCGAACCACGCCGTCACCATCGCCGTCTTCCCTCCGCCGTCAAAGGTCTGAGTCGCCGTCTCCTATCTTCTCTTTGTCTCCTTTCGTCTCTTTGCTGTCTCTCGTCTTTTCGTCTCCTCTCTTGCGATTTCGGATCTGAGATTATTGCCGCCGGTGATTGTTGAACGTCAAGCCTCTCCCCGTTGCCTCCTCCCTTCTCTGTATTTTATCTTCTGTCGCGTCCTTGTCCAGATCGTCGCCGTCTTCCCTCCATCGTTGGTGGTGGATCTCTATCATGGCGTCTCCGTCTCCACAGGTTCGTTGCCTCGCAGCCGCAGTCTTTGTATCAAATTTGTTTATTAGTTTGGCTCTCTCAGGCTCTGCCATGGCTCCGTCCGTCTCTCTCAGTCTCTATCGAGATTCTGTTTTTAGTGTATTTCGGTGTCTTTCGGTGTGTTTCGACTTTCGACTTTCATTTGTGTTATCGATTCTGTCGAATCTGTTATTGATTAATTAGTATCATTTGGTATGATATGTTTTGTAGTGAAGTTTGTTTGTGAAGATTTTCAGATTTGAGAGAGGAATTTGGGTGAAACACAAATGAAATAGATAAGTTCTGAAAGAAAGTTCTGTATTTTTCTCTTTAGGTTTCAGCAAGTTTACAAACTGATATATAGGAATATTTACATACATGATATATGGAAACTCTAAACAATAGATGTTGGCAACATATACAGAGAATGAAACTAGCTAATATTCTTCTTGATTTTTGTCAGAGTCATATCCCTCAGATTGAGCTTGAGTGTTTGTCTGAGATACGCTTTAGACCTTATGTTTCAGACCATGACTTTGCTTGCTTTTGATGTTCGAGATTGTAGTTGCGACTAATCATTTTGGAATACTAATATTTTATAGTTTAGGATTTGGATTTAATCATTTTGGATGATTAATATCATGATGAAATTTGAAGATCTTGTAGACTTTGTAATTTTTTGAGGATTAATCATTTTGTAAACTTGTTTGGATGAATTATTTTGAAGTTTTTTGGAGGATTATTATTCATTTTTTAAAATCTATCATAACCGAACCGAACCGTTAAAACCGAACCGAACCGAACCGATGTACATTTAACCGTTTGGTTATAATTTTATTGTGTCAAAACCGAACCGAACCGAACCGAAACCGAACCAAACCGAACCGATTAAATCTCCATAACCGTTTGGATATGATTTTTTTGTAACCGAAATAACCGAACCCGAAATAACCGAACCGAAAACCGAACCGTAACCCGAAATGGCCACCCCTACTGATTATGGTTGGGCCTAAAGCCTCGTTTAACCACTAATCTTATTTAAAATAAAAAAGAAAAAATTTATTATTATTATTATAAGGTCAACGATGGTCCAAACCTCGTTTTTTCCGATTTTCGGTCGAATATCGGAAACTGTATATTTTTTTTATAATTTGGAAGTTCACCGAACCTTTGGTCCGACTACATCTCTAAGACCGGAAAAGTTCAGATGAATGTCTCTCCTCACGCTTGGATTTAACCCAAAGTGAGATTATGTTTTGCATGTTTGGCCGAAATTGTAAGTTGAAGTATATGAGCATGAAAATATCGAATTACCTTATGCCAATGTTCTCATCAGCATACTCACTAAAGTTGGGTCATTGTGGGTAGCGTGGCTGCGTTATTTCTTCCTAAAAAAGAGAGGGATGTGGGACACATCTCCATCAACCGGAATGTCTTTGAACATGTTGGAAACTGCTGCAAATGAAGGAGAAGGCAATAGGATTCACCAAAATACAACTGGGCAATGGCAAGCAAGGTTCTGGCTTGACAATTGGACTAGCCTTGGCCCTTTAATAGAATATATCAGACATCAAGGCCCTAGGCTCCTGCCACTGCCGAAATTGAGCACTGTTAACGCTGCTGCAACCGAGAATCGTTGGACTCTGTCGGGGGCTCGCTCGGAGAAAATCCAACAGCTACATATAGTCCTTGCCTCCCTGTCACCCCCTTCCGAGGCTCGGTGTCTGGATTTAGTCCTATGGAAGCACTGGGATGACATCTTCAAGACTTGTTTTTCCTCTGCTAAATCATGGTCCCAGATACGTACGTGATCAATCCAACGCCGTGGGCGAAACTGGTCTGGTTTCAGCTTTCTACTACGAGAATGACCATTACCTAATGGCAAGCTCTTCTACGACGCTTTCCTACTACGGACAACCTATCACGCTGGCGTATCCGAGTTGATCCCAAATGCCCCCTATTCTGATTGAAAAAGAGTCACATGATCATCTATTCTTCGTCTGTCCCTGCAGCGCAGGAATTTGGGAACATTATGTAATCGCCTGCTGGCCGTCACCGACATCAACGCTATCGGATTGCCTAGACTGGTTTGGAGTGCAGTCTCACGATGGGAGCAGGAACCGTCGCCTCCTATTAAGCTTATCTTGCAGGTAACTGTTCATCTCATTTGGCGAGAGCGGAACAATAGGATCTCCCGGCAAATCTCCTAGCATATATCTCATGTATACATATTAGGAATATATGTACAGAATAAAGTAAGGGAGCATGTACACCCTTTACATTTTTTCTTCTTCATCTGTTAGCGGAGATTACGATCATATCTTGTATATATTGTTTACCATATACATCTTAGATACTCTCCAGATTTTCCTAGGTTTAGTTGGCTTCGTTGTTTGTATTTAGCTAGGTTTTCGCATAATGGAACACGCACGTTTTTCCCGAACCTCGACTTGTTATGGTATCAGAGCCCGAATTTTTTTAACTCACCATGACCTCCGAACACGACGGTTTCTCCGCCGCGACACCTCCTGTTTCGACCGACCCAGCGATGTCTTCTACAACTAAGACATCGTTTTCTGGCATACCTCGGAGAACGATTTCTCCTTTTGATTTGAGTCCAAGCGACAACCCGGGTTGGTTCTTTCACAACCATTGTTGCGGGGACCCAACTACGAAGAATGGGCTATCAACATTCGGCATGCCTTGAAGTCCAGAAAAAAGTTTGGATTCGTTGATGGTAAGATTTCTCAACCGACTTTCGATTCTCCCGACTATGAAGATTGGGAAACAAATAATTCCCTCATTGTCTCGTGGATTAAGAACACACTCGAACCGAGTTTACGTTCGGATGTCGTTCATCGGGAATTTGCAAAGGACTTGTGGGATTATCTCAAACGACGTTTTGGGATGACAAGTGCTCCTCGACTTCTGCGACTTCGTATGGATCTCGCAAATTGTCGACAGCAAGGCTCGTCGGTCGAATCGTATTTTGGCCGCCTAACCAAATTATGGGACGACTTGACAGTCTTGTGTTCGATCAAGATGTGCAAGTGTGGCGCGTGTACTTGCAACCTTGCGGCCGAACTCGAACAACAACGGCAAGAGGACAGGCTATATGGTTTTCTTCTCGGCCTCGATGAAGCTCGTTTCGGCATTGTTCGTTCGAATTTGCTGTCTCGTGTACCTCTTCCAACTGTCGAGGAGGCTTATCTTGTTGTGACTCAGGATGAGGCCTCGCGTGAGGCACATTCTCTATCTCAATCGAGCGATGTGTCTGGTGTTTCGGCATTTTCAGTTCAACTGGCTGCAAAGTCTCAATCTCTCTCTACGACCAAGGACAAGGACAAGGCGGTGACCTGTACGAACTGTGGTCGTTCAGGACATGTTGCTGAATCTTGCTTCCAGATTTTGGGATATCCGGAGTGGTGGGGAGATCGACCACGAAATCGCACCGGTCGCGGTCGAGGTTCTGCATCTGGTTCCAGAGGCCATGGTCGGGGTTCTGCCAATGCTGCTCAGATTGCGGCGTCCACTGCTCCAGGGGTTCCGACGCCCGTTAGCGCTCCGGTGAGTGGCCTAAGTGAAGAACAGTGGAAGACTCTGGTTTCTTTACTCAACGCTGGAAAAATTGGTGCTAGCGAGACATCTTCGGGTACGTTTTCCTCTGCTCCTTGGATTCTTGATACAGGGGCATCTCACCACATGACGGGATGCTTCGATTTGTTGTGTAATCCCTCGACAATGGATCCGTTTCACATTGTTTTGCCGGATGGTC